ATAAAGAAATTCTCAGAAAAAATTAAGAACCTTTTTGGCGGGCCAATTTTGCATTGCCTTGAAGAAGTTGCAGTGGTTTATTTTCTTGTTTTCTTGTTTAACTTTCTAGTTAGGTTAGGTTAGGGATTTGTTGGAAGGAAAGAAACAGGGGAGATTTTAGAAAATTACATGATATCTCGTCAGGTATTACTATATACATTTTGTTTAAACTATTTCTAATAAATAAATAAATATATATATATATAATCTTTATGATTCTATATATTAATTAATTTATAGCATAGTAAACGTTGTAAATTATTTAGGTTAGGGATTCTTTGGAAACAAAGAAATAGGGAAGATTAATTACATGATCTTTCGTATGGTATTACTATATATTTTGCTTAAACTATTCTCTAATAAATAGATATTTATCTATCAATATGAATCAGTATATTAATTAATTTATATAAATAATTAACTATTTAATCAAATAATACTACCATTATCCAATTAGTGCGCCATCTATCGAATAAAATTAGTATTAATTAGAATAATATTGTCACGTAGTAAATTAGGAAAGACAAACTTAAGAATGACACAGCAATTTATTTAATGGCAAGAAAAAAATCAACATTCATAAGATAAATAATGAGGGAGAGGTTTCCAGAGTATAGCAAACTATAAATAATATAAATATAAAAAATAATAATCTGTACATAAACTATATAATAAATACTTTTCTAGAATATTTTAAAATATATATAATTAAAAACTATTTCTATAGACATCATAGAAGGAAGGACATGGCCCATCAGTGGTCAACCCTTCAAAAGATTTAACCAGTTTAATCTCCAGACAGCTCTGCTATGAGTTTATACGGATTTTTCTTGGAGGGTTCGTCACAGTAATGCCTTCTCTTTTTGAATATTTATTCAACAATCGTATAATATTGGGGAAATAGTGTTTCATTTTATGTATTAAAAAATTGCGCTAAATTTGACAAAATTTGTATATTGAGAGAGAGAGAGAGATTTTGAGATTGAAACTTATTTATTACAATCTACATATAAGATTATATAATGTCAAATACAGAATAAATATGATTATATAATGATAAATTTATGAATAAATAAACATAAATAGATGGAAATAATTGATAAATATACATATATAAATATATATATATAGGTCGTCATTGGTGGCGTCCACCGCGGGAAAGACTCCGCCACCGATGGACTGCGAGAGTTCTTTCCCACAGAGTGGGCAGGTTGATAAGTGCACAGTCCGTACTATTTAAGTATTAATGAGAAATTTACAATGAGGATGATGATTAAAACAAAAATGATTAAAATATACAACTATGTACATGGCTCCTCTGCCACCGCTGCAGAGTTTGAGAGAGATATCTATATATTTTAATATAAAAATCTTTAAACCACACACACAAAATATTATAATTTATTGAAGATTCTAGAGTTATATAGAAATAAATATTTTGCCATCACATAAAACTTTGAGAATTATATTTACATATGTAATGTTATGTAAATACCGTTGATATATTAGAACATATAATAATATAACATTCTGTGTATATATCCAATTGAAATTTGATTATTCTGTTATTTAAATCACTCATTATACAGAAGATCTCTGGGAAGGTAAGTGAAGGTGTCTATAAATTAAAGCGTTGGATGTATTCATATTGGAGAAAGATTTTTTCAATTTATATTATTTTTCCCCATCCCCCCTTTAAATATGAATGATTTTACTATTAATGTGTGATGAATACAATACAATATAATGTGGCTTGTGATTGTAAAACGACAATTGAAAATTATCCCGCATGTGTTTCTTTTGAACGAAAAATTACAATTTATTTCAAGGAGAAATAACAATCATTTCTAAATTTGAGATGAAGTATGAAAGGATGAATTGTGAAGAGTAATGATAAACGGAAAATAAAATTATTTTTATTTTTATGGGGGGAGTGTAGCTTTTCTAAGTTTAAAACCATGGTTTGTTACAAGTATGTGTTAAAACATCTATTTAAAATCTATATTCCTCACATTACGTTGAATTGTTACCAAGCTCACTCCGAAGTACATAATCAGTTTCCTAAACTTTTTCTTCATCTTTAAATTAGAATAATATTCAAATATCACTCTTATATTTTCATGTAATATTTAAACATCATTATAAAATTGTTAATTCACGTTTTCGTGAATAAAGTACATTATTCTATCGATTTTATTTGTGTCTACCTCATTTAATGTTTCAGCAAAAATATATATTTAATTTATTTTACTCAAAATGATAAAACTTCGGAAATTGCCTTACAACAACATATACTTATGTATACTTGTGTATAAAACAGGACTTGTTAAAAAAATATTGTTTAAAAGGACATGTTTATTAGAACCCTTTCAACAAGTTCTGTTCAAGAAGGCATGTTCAGCACGTACTGTTCAAGGGGGCATATTCAAAGGTCATGTTCAACATTTACTGTTCAGGAGAACATGCTCAACAGGTGCTGTTCAAGAG